ATGAGGAAAAGTCTTGAGATGAAACTTATTTCACTTTTGCAGAAGAGAATAGCCTTCACCTTCCAGGAGCAATAAGATGTCCTAAGCACTTTGTAAATGCTACCTATATCACTCTCACTACAACCTTATGAGATAACATTCATTGTTCTCATTTTACTGATGTTTCAGCCAAGATCATACAGTTCATTGGAGGCCGAGTTACCTGTGTTCATCTACCTTTCCAGACTTTCAATTTTCCCCTAGAATGAAAATGCTGGATCTAAAAGTAATGAGACTATAAAATGCCTGTAAAAGGCTGCTTAGGGCTGGGTGTGGTGGCTCACGCTTATAATCCCAGCACTTTGGGAGGCCAAGGTGAGTGGATTATGAGGTCAGGAGTTTAAGACCAGCTTGGCCAAGATGGTGAAACCCCCATCTCTATTAAAAACACAAAATTTAGCCAGGTGCGGTGGTTGGCGCCTGTAATCCCAGCTACTCAGGATGCTGAGACAGGACAATTGCTTGAACTCGGGAGGTGGAGGTTGCACTGAGCCAAGATTGCACCACTGCACACTCCAGCCTGGGCGACAGACTGAGACTCCGTCAAAAAAAAAAAAAAAACAAAAAAACAGGGGGGTGCTTAGGAGTGTTCTGAATGCTAGAGGTAATTCTAAGCATTCAGTTTTGGAACTAAGAGGAAGGGAACAGATTAGGCCCATGCCACTCAAAGAATGTGTCCACAAGAGTGTAAATTAACTCTGTCATTGAGCACAATTTTTCCTCATGGTGAGACTTTCTCAATGAAAAAAGCTATGCATCAGTTTATATTCCAGTGCATATTTCTAATCTTCACATGGGCAAATAACAGTTTGAAAAGCAGTAACCAGTCCATGAACCAGGCTTTAAGTGGCACAAGCTTAAGAAGCTTCTTATGAGATTTTCCTTTTCTGTGAGTATTTTAATCATTTTGGATAAGAGTTATTCTTAAAGTTATCCTATTTGATTATTTGATTTTTCATTTATCAAAAGAATAAGTCACATCCCTTATTCACAATAGAGATAGTAATGAAGGCTAGTGTCCTATACCCTGTAGATCTCTGGGGGCATTAATGTTAGTTGAAGTAATATTGCTAGTTTTAATAAGCTGATCTCTTCCAACAGCAAAAAAAAAAAAAAAAAAAAGAAAAAGAAAAAGAAACCTTTCTTAAAAAATGAACAATATTGTCATCACACAGCATAATGTTTGAAGTGAAATATAAACTTTAAAAATATATTATTCATACCTGCACCTCCGCCTATGCTTAGAATCTTAATTTCTGATTTTGTGTCTCCAATCCTGAAAGAAAAAAAATTATGTAGTTTTAGAAAAATGTGTTAGGTGCTTTGTGAAATCTGATTATCTAGTCTAGTTGAAGAGAACAGACTAAAAATACAATGAACGAAAACTAGGCCAACATGAAAGTTCCCAATTATACCAGTTATATTGCCATCTTTAGAGTATATTTCAAAATACAGGTTTTATTCATTAACAATCTTGAACTGGGAGACTTGGAAATGGCATTATGTACATCTCAGAGGTAGAAAATGTCATTTGTTTGAATATTGTTTGGAGAACAAGAATAGAAAAAGTGGAGTTTCAAGTCTGGTAATATAATAAGCCACCCATCGTAGATAGGGGAAAGGCTCAGGTGGTTCCCACTATCTATAATGTTTGCCTTCTTTCCTCCCCTACCCCCCCTTTTTTTTTCACCTTACTTTTAATGAACAAATGTTTATTAAACATGTATTATGTGTATTCTATCCTAGGCATTAAAAAAATAGATATCACTTTGCTCTCAAAATGAAATGTGAGACAATAAAGCCCTGAATTATGACTCAGGTACTAGAAATAGAATGAAGTAGATAGATTGGGAAATAAGCCAGTAGGACTTGCTGTTAGACTGATGTGAAGACGTAAGAAAAAAAAAAAATATGGGTGCGCAATGACTTCCCTGTTTCAGGCTTGGATGACTGGGAAAAGGGTGATGCCAAAAAGGAAGCTGAGAAATATAGTTTGGTAACAAGCTTATGTTTTTGTCAGGGCTTTTTAAAAAAATAAATAAGAATTCGGCAAACATTTGAATTTGCAAGATTTAAGCTGGGAGAAGAGAAATCGGGGCCAGGGATGTATTCTGGAGAATCATCATCATAAAGTAATAGTCAATGCTAGAAGAGTAGATTCCATCACCCAAAGTTACTGCAGAGTTAGAGTAGTAGTGGATGGTGATCCAATATCAACTTCTAAAGATAACTGGATTGTGAAGAATACACAAAGAAGACAGAGAAGAAAAGAAAGCACAGAGAAGTACTAGAGTAACTGGAGGCAGAGAAAGCCCTTAGTCGTGGCAAAAGCAGCAGAGTGTACTACTTAAAAAAGGAAAAATCTACATCGAATTTGGCAATATGAGTGTCTTTAATAATAGCAGGTTTTTTTAAAGTTCATTCATGTTTTTAATATAAAGTTTGAAATAATAATTTTAATAATTCCTAGAACATTGTTAGGTGCTATGGGGTTTAGATAGTGATTTTTTTTCTTTTTTGTTTTCTGGGTTTTTTTTTCTTTCTTTTTTTTTTTTTTTTTTTTTTTAATTATACTTTAAGTTCTAGGGTACATGTGCATAACATGCAGGTTTGTTACATATGTATACATGTGCCATGTTGGTGTGCTGCACCCACCAACTCGTCAGCACCCATCAACTCGTCATTTACATCAGGTATAACTCCTAATGCAATCCCTCCCCCCTCCCCCCTCCCCGTGATAGGCCCCGGTGTGTGATGTTCCCCTTCCTGAGTCCAAGTGATCTCATTGTTCAGTTCCCACCTATGAGTCAGAACATGCGGTGTTTGGTTTTCTGTTTTTGCAATAGTTTGCTGACAATGATGGTTTCCAGCTGCATCCATGTCCCTACAAAGGACACAAACTCATCCTTTTTTATGGCTGCATAGTATTCCATGGTGTATATGTGCTACATTTTCTTAATCCAGTCTGTCACTGATGGACATTTGGGTTGATTCCAAGTCTTTGCTCTTGTGAATAGTGCCGCAATAAACATACGTGTGCATGTGACTTTATAGCAGCATGATTTATAATCCTTTGGGTATATACCCAGTAATGGGATGGCTGGGTCATATGGTACATCTAGTTCTAGATCCTTGAGGAATCGTCATACTGTTTTCCATAATGGTTGAACTAGTTTACAGTCCCACCAACAGTGTAAAAGTGTTCCTATTTCTCCACATCCTCTCCAGCACCTGTTGTTTCCTGACTTTTTAATGATTGCCATTCTAACTGGTATCTCATTGTGGTTTTGATTTGCATGTCTCTGATGGCGAGTGATGATGAGCATTTTTTCATGTGTCTGTTGGCTGTATGAATGCCCTCTTTTGAGAAAAAGAAGACTGAGGACTGCAGTCACATGGCAATGGGATTAAAAGTGAGCTCAAAAATGAGGAGGCAGATCTGGAGTCTGTTGAAAAAGGATGAAAGAGAGAAGGATAAGAGATAACTGCTACAGGGGAACCATGAAGGGAAAAGGATGGTGTTTGTTTCTTTGGACTGTGGGATGGTAAACAAACCTGTGTTTTGTCTTCATTGCAAAAGCTTGCACAGTCACAGGATGGGAACAAAGGTTGAAATAAGGTTCTAAAGGAATCTTGCAAAGTCTAGGGTCAAGAACACCTATAAATGAGTTGCCTTTTTCAGTTCTAATTATCCTCCAGTTCATAATCCTGCATCCTAATACATCCATTTCTATCTTAACCTTTTGTTCATTCTTTAAAATGCTTACATCTATGACAGCATAGGGAGGCTATGAAGCAGAGGACCCAAGTTGAAATCCCAGGTTACTGATATGTTACCTTGAGCAAGTTATTTGACATCTCTGTGAGATAAGATAATAATATCACCTCTCTTGTAGGATTATTAGTAACAGTTTCTAATTCATGGAGAAATTGTGAGGATTCAATTATTTAATTCATGTAAAGCTCTTAGAAATGTAACTGCACATGACAAGCACTCCACATATATTAGCAATTATTATGATTCTAGGCACATGTAAGTGACTTATGTGAATCACCTCTTTGAATCCTTAAAATTCCCCTATGAGTTAGATACTATCATTCATCCCATTTCACATATTATAATGACATCAAATAATTATTGAAAACTTACTATTTTCTAGCCAAGGATTTAAAAGTTTTATATGCAACACCAATAACCAAGTTTACTATTTATAGTTATATACTATAATTTTTCCTGCCCCCAAGCCCTGCCCCACCATCTACCCCCAAATAGGGAATTGAAGAATTCCTCCATAGGGAAACAAATCATCTCAGTAATAAAGTTAACATGATTTTATATCTGAGGATCACCCAGGAAAGAGTTGAGTCCACACTCAATTATTCATTGAGCTACTCACTCAACAAACCCTGCCCTGACTTACACAAAGAGAATCTGACTACCTTTTAGTGCGTCATTATTTGATTGAACAGAAAACCAAGGCTTATTAGGCAGTTGGGGAGCTGTCGAACATAAGAAACAGAGACTGAAAGAGGCAGAGAGAGCAGAGGAACATTTTGTAATGAATAAGAAGGTATTACATCTGATAATGATGAAAAGAATGCTATAGAAAACATTCTTGGAAATTAAAAATATAATAGTAAAAAATTAATAGATGGGCTGAAAGAGAAAGTCGTAGCAAACTGGAAATACAAGAAAATTAGGTAATCAATCCAGGAGGTATTTGATGAGTAAAAGTTTCAGAAAAATAAAACAGAGGGGAGGAATGATTACCAAAGTTCCTCATAACTGAAGGGTCTGAATCTCAACTGAAATAGCCCAGGGAGTACCCACAAAATGGGTGAAAAGGAACCATTTCACAACTCACTATTTTAAAATTTCAGAGTACTAGAGATAAGATTCTAAAAAGTTCAAAATAGGGAAAACAAAACACATAATGTGAAGTTATTCCACAACCCAAGGATGAGAATTTTGAGTAGCATTTGATTTCTTTTTTTCTCTTGTGTGAGACAGGGTCTCACTCTGTCATCTCGACTGAGTGCAGTGTCGCAATCATGTCTCACTGAAGCCTTGATCTCCCGGACTTAAGCAATCTTCCCACTTCAGCTTCTGGAGTAGCCAGTGCTACAGGTGCAAGCCACCTTGTTCAGCTAATTTTTTTACTTTTTCTGTAGAGATGGGATCTTGCTGTGTTGCCCAGGCTTGTCTCAAACTCCTGGGCTCAAGTAATCTTCCTGCCTCAGTCTCCCAAAGTGCTGAGATTACAGGCACGAACCAACACACCTGGCCAGTATTTTATTTGTTAACAGCAATTCTGGTATCTAAAAGACAATGTAAAAGTACCTTTAGATGTATGATACAAAACCATTTTCAGTATACAGTTCTATATCCAGTCAAACTGTCTAACTCCGATGAACATAGAACCAAGGGATTTTTAAACATCCAAAGTCTCAAAAAGTTTACCTCTCATTCACTCTTAAAGCTTTTAAAGAATTAGTTCAGGAAACAAAGGACTGAGGAAACAAAGAAAAGAAAAGCATGAGATACAGAATCAGGAAATCAAATACTTCAGAAAGAAAATGATTCTCAGAAAGTGAAATAAACCCCCTCCTTAATAGTTGTATAGCAGGCCAAAGCAGATCTTCCTAAACCGAAAAAAAGAACAGAAGGCTTCAGAAAAGTTGTTCCCTTGGGGTAAAATAAACAGATTCCTTGATATGTTTGCATATATTGAGATGAGATTAGTATATCTGCTTCGGAATCAAGGTAATAATAGGTACATAGAGAACTAAGAAAAGAAACCAAAATTAAGGCAATAGTCAACTCTAGGGAAAACAAAAAGTTGTACATAAAAGGAAATGTAAGCATAGTATAATATATTGCTTAATTATTAATAATATGTACATAGGCAAAATAACATAAACACTCAAATTATTTAACCAAAATTTTGATTAAATATAGTGACATGAAAGGGTGGGAAATACGCATGCTAATTAGCTAGTTTAGTACAGCAAAATGAAGAAATGGAAAAATAACATGTTATTTTGAATTATGAAAGAAAATTCCATAAATAACTAAAAGATTTCAAAGTGCTGAAAGTGGTTGCTTCTGGAGAGTGAGAATCAAGAATGGAGTGGGTGGGATTTGTTATAG